ACAGCTATGGCGGAATTCCAGGCACCATGGCTACTGAGGGGCACACACTCGCAGAGAGGGAGGCCCGAGGCCTTAAGGGGGGCATTATTGCCATTGTTTATATTGCGTGTGGATTGGCCACTCAAAAGGGCGTCTCGATTCTGGAAGCTGGCGGTGGCGAGTGGTTTTCATTGCAATTCCACGACGTTAAGGTCAGATTATTACCAAATTCTCTGGAGAATCTTACAGCTTACGGAATCGCAGGAAAATACACTGCCCTTGAAGCTTGAAGCGGTTGCGACAGCCTTTTACAATGACATCGAAGACGGCTTCAGGGACGGGGCCGTGGCCCTGCTATCAGAACAGAGCAAGCGGCCGTTCACCGACGTTGTAGATTTTCTGGCAAGCGATTTGGAGATCCCGAAGATCTATGTCGTTTGTAAGAATGACAACGCCGTGCCGTTTGCCTTTCAGCAGTTTATGGCGCAAGCGTCCGGCGCCGAGATCGTTGAGCTTGACTGTGGTCACAGCCCATTCCTGAGAGAAGAAGAAAGACGCCAAATCGTTGATCTGATCATTGGCGTTTCACAGTAAGTGTTCAAGGGACTGGGAGACGTTGTACTGGGCACATGCCATCAGTGATCTCCGTTTTCGACACTCGGTTTGTTGGCTCCGCCCCCGCACTCGAGGTCGGAGAATCATCCGTGAATGAAGGATGCGAGGCCGCCAAGTATGCATGCAGACAATCAAATCTTTTCCTAAGTATGCTTTCTGCGCTGACTCGATTGGAGACGTTTGAAGCATGGATGCAGGACATGACCTTTGTACCGCAGCTGGCTGGCCATGGATCTGGGTCTTTCCGCGGCCGAGCCCTCCACAACCCTATTCAGGAGCAGTACCCGAGGATAATGGCGTACATAGAGGGATTCGCATAACACCGAGTGTGAATCTTGGCGCTTTTGCAGCCCGATGTTTACCTATGTCACTACCTTCACCCGGGGTGAACCGTAACTTGATGCGCTCGCCACAACGGATAGTCCTTGGTGTTACATCTCGGGCGCCATGCTGAAGTGTTTATAAGTAGAGCATTGGGCATATCGAAATTAGAGGTCTCTATGATCCGGGAATATATCCCGTGTCATAAATCCAACCCACGATGCTCACTACTTTGATTTCTTTCATCGCCTACGCGTGCATTGTGCCTGCTGCGGCGCATGTTGCAAACGTTGCAGAACGTCAGTTTTGTAGTGCGGCTTGGTAGGACTCTTCTTGTGGGAGTTATAAGACTGTATTCTGACCATGGTCTTGATAGGGCCCAATGCGGTGGCACTGGCTGGCTGGACCAACTTGTTGCGTCAGCGGCAGCAGTTGCGTTGTCCAAGGTGAATGGTATTCGCAATGCACCCCATCCGGGGGCACCTCACCACCTCCGCCTTCCGCTCCACCCCCCGCATCTGGGTCATCAGCATGCCTGGCATCCGCCGACGGCTTTTCCTCGCTCAATGGAGGAACGACTGGTGGTGCGGGCGGAACAACTGTCACTGTCACTAACCAGTCCGACCTTGATAAATATGCCAGTGCTTCAGGTCGGCATGTCATCAAGGTTCAAGGCCGAATCACTATCACACCATTTGGTAAAGAGGTTCGGGTCTCAAGCGACAAAACCATTGTGGGCATTGGCTCAACGGGTCAGATTTATCAAGGTGCGTTCCACTATCGTGTAGTCATCAGTGAGACTTCAGCTAAAACGCCCAAGGCGGCTTTGCCATTCATGGGGTTCGCAACGTCATCATTCGAAACCTCAAGATCGGTAAGTCGTCCAAGCTAGCAAAGTTTTCCCCGACGAACCTAAGAATAAAACATAATGTTCAATTGCAGGGAACACGCCAATGACTACAGAGAACGACTACGATGGGATTCAGTCCGTAAGTCCATTTACATGCCGTATCCAGCTGCAAAGCAGGCGAATCAGGTTATCATGATGCTGACAATCCAAGGATACCACAAGCAACATCTGGATAGATCATTGTCAGTTTCAATTTCGAATCAGACTTCCTTTTACTGACATTATTGCTGTAGGTTTGCTGGAGAATGGCGGCGATGGGTTGCTCATTCTGAGAAAAGACACAACCTTCTTTACAGTGTCCAACAACATCTTCCGGAATCACGATAAGGCTTTTGGTATTGGTAAGTTGCGTGATATTAAGATCGTAATATTCATGATGAGCAGCTGCTCACCAGTGTTTGCAGGTTGGACGGAAAATGTTGTGGCGCGCGGCACCATCCATCACAACTGGTTTGACCGGACAAACCAACGCAACCCAAGCGCCGACAACCTTGCTCAGTGTCATCTCTACAACAATTATGTCTTGGGAGTTACTTCATATGGCCACTACGCCCGTGGGTCTACAAATGCTCGGGTGGAGAATGTCTACTTTGAGAGTTGCCGCAATCCCTTGACCAAGGATTCAGGAGCGATTCTGAATGCTTCGGGTAACATCTATCAGTCGTGCACGGGCACTGTGGCTGCAAACTCAGGCACAGCGTTCCAGCCGCGCGATTACTACAGCTGTACTCTCACCGCAACAGCCGATGTACCTTCTCATGTCAAAGCCAATGCGGGACCTAGGGCATCAGTGTGCCCTTCGTGAGTAAAGGTTCACGTGGAATAGTCTTCATTCGACCTAGGCATCCGTCACAGGCTTCAACAGAGGACATTGGATGGAGAGGAGAATGAATAGTGTGCCACGGTGAAAGATACTTATTTCTGGAAGAATACTTGAAAATATTATTACACCGGAAGACTTCGATTCCTACCTAAGCCATGGAGGTCTTCTATACTTGCCATAATCTTCTTAAAGAAATCAGCGCATGAAGTGACCGTCAATCAAAGTGATGAACATGTTCCATATACACCCGTCTTTGTGCTTTACTGAACAAGTCCTTCCCTGAACAATTCCTAGTCAGCCGGAACTTCAGTGGAATGAACTATATGACGCTAGCCGTGTGGGTAATAGCCAGCAGGGACACCAGTGAATGCGTGCTTGCCTAGGACAACAGTATACACAGTGGGAGAGGCATCCTCGGTGAATTGAGCTTCGCTTCACTGGGTCTTTCAGCTTTTCGTCTTCGTCCTTAAAAATTGCACCAACTTAAGAAGGTAAGCCTCCATACACTTGTTCCCTTACACCAGCTTTTGTATCGTCAAAGCAGAAATCGCCCTGACATCGTTTTCACGCCTGTCACCTGATTCAACCCCTCCTACCCTCCTACCCTCTGTTGGTCAAACTCGTCTGTCTTGCCCCATTATCCACCTTCCAGCCCCGCCTCATTCCGACATGCTACTCCTTCATCTTCTGGCCCTCTCCTGGTTCCTGCTCGCGGACCCCGTTGCTGGTCGGATTGCGGCGGACCATACGCTTTTTCTGGAGCATAGCAACTCAACCGAGACTCAGCCGGCTCTTGCCAACGCCACCGCCTTGGCCGTTCAGAAGCGCGATGATCGAGGATACTATAGACCCCCCAAGCACTGGAACAACTACAATCCCTGGCCTCCGCAGTACTGGAAATGGGGCTTCCTAAACTGCAAGAACGTCCTCGAGCTCGACAAACGACCCACCGCCACCTGCGAGTACTACTTCGAAAACTGCCCTGGCGACACCCATATCAGCTTCACCGTGAGCATTGAGCCGAACGGAGAGACCAACCCCAATTGGTGCGCCGTATTTTACGACTATATCGCCGATGAATGCGGCTCGCCTCGCATTCATTGGACCCGGTGCAACACACACTTCATGTCCAATCTCGACGGCTATGATGGCATATCTGTCGACTTTGACTTTACGCCCAACTTTCCAGTCGAGAAATTCAATGACGGCTGCATTGAGGCGGCTGTGCGTCGGGCCACCTGCGACGTGCAGCTCGAACATGTAACGATGGCCAACGGGGGCTGTGTTTTCGTTGGTTCTTGCGAGAACAATGTCGATCCTTTCAAGCAGTGATTGATCACAGCGACGCACTGGGCTCACTCATACAACAACCTGGACCTGACTTCTTTGGCCATCGCGACAAAGAGGTTTTGAAATTGAGGATGCGATCGGTTCCCTGAGTGTGTTGGGCTTGGAGCTTCAGCGTGGAGGTCGGGTGGGCAGCTTGGACCGCACATATCATAAGATGTCTCATCTCAAGTTCCGAGTAACTTCATGACGTCTGCGTTTAGGCCGCTCGTACCACAAAAATGCATTAGGTTGTCAACCGTCATGGAAATGAGTGTAAAGCTTATTGACGTTATGCAAATTGGACTGTGGGCAACCAAAAAAAGCCTTGGTCAAACGTAGCCTTCACGTCCTCATGAACACGATGTAACATTGTATGTACGGTTTCAGTTCCATATTCCAACTTCATGGCACTGAAGTCTTCTTATCGCCGTGATCATTTTTCCTTTTTTATTTCTCATCCGGCGTCCGCTATGTATTGCCCGATGGCGGTCATTTTTTCATCGGGCAGGTAATATGTACATCAATCATTGTACACGCGCGCTCTCATTTGCAGGCTTAGAAGTTGGCAAAGAGCCACTTCATGCCAGCCCAGTTCTCCTCACCAGAGGGCAGGATCTGGCTGGGGGGCAGAACAAAGCCACCCTGGGCTTGGTTGGCAGGACGGAGCTCAAAGCCCCATGACAGCTCGGCATTGGCAACGTCGTAAGCCCAGTCCATGGAAACGCCGGAAGTCTGGTAAATAGTAGGGCATGTGGGGCCGAAGACAAAGTTGAGGCCGTTGACGCTCTTGATGGCCTCGTTGACGCCGGCGGCGAGCTTCATCTGGTAGTCGTTGTTCGCGGCAACCTCGGTGCAGCTGTAGCCATACGGCAGCATGATGAGCTGGCTGAAGGCGTGCCAGTCGACGAAGAACTTGATGCCGGTGGTGCGCGAGAGACCGAGGGTGTGGTTGGTGAGGACCTGCATCTCGGGAGTGTCGCCGGGGGCGAGGCCACGGTACGTCTCTGAGCACGGGTTCGTCGATGAGCCGCCGGGGACGTCCCACTTGTAGGGCCAGTTTCGGTTGATGTCGGTGCCGATGCAGGAAGCTCCAGTGCGGACCTGGCGGTTCTTACGCCAGAGGCGGTTCTCGGTGTAGGTGAAGACGAAACCTGCGCATGTCAGTGTACTGCCGACTCGAGTTCGTGGAAGAAACCAGAATCGTACCGTCAGGGTTCACAATAGGCATGATGTAAAAGTCGTAGTTGTCGAGGGTGCGAACGGAGCTGCAAGCGCGCTTCTTGTAACCATCGATGACCTTGTAGGCCATGTACTCAACAGTCTATGAGCTGTTGTTAGCTGACCGATCTTTGAACACTCTCAGTGGGGGGCCAAACTCACCGGAGCGACGATCCACTCACGCGCGTGAACGGTACCGTGCCAGATCTACAGCTTTGTTAGCATGATTTTATCAAGCAAGCGTCGAGCGACGAACAATGGCCTCGTGCTTGCCGGGTCCGTCACGGCCCCAAAGGTGAATGCCCTTGATGGGACGGCCCTCGAGCGATTCGCCAGCAGTGTAAATCTCCGAGTTGTCAGGGAACGCAGCATGCAGATCCTCGAGATACTGGTGGTGCTCCTCCAGCTCGTGGTACGAGTTGAAGTACGAGAGGTCGGGGAGGTCCTGCGCGCTGCGACCCTTGATCTTTCGGGTGGCTGGAAAAGACGTTCAGCATTCATTTTCATGGAGAAACCAGTCGAATACACTCACCAGTGTAGGATTCGAATTCGCCCTCAGCAGCAAGCTCGGCGCCAAAGTCCTCAAAGGTAACCTTAGCATCGAGGTTAAGGGCCTCGAAGGCGGCGAGATCCTCCGGAGCGATGGCGACGTCGAGGTGGTCGTGGTCATCCTGACAGCTGAGAGACACGTAGTTCAGGCCAGCGAGAGACGCCTCGACGGCGTCAAAGTTGTCGTGGCTGTCGATCGAGAAAGCCTTGAAGCCATCGTAGGAGACTTTGGCCGCCGCCAGGGGCAGGGTCGCGGCAATGATGGTAAAGGCTCTCATGGTGACTGGAAGGTGCTGAACCACACGTACTCGCTGTTCAGCTCTAGTTGGCTAGGACTGCTTGCTGATGTCGGAGGAGAGCTACCAAAGGCAAAGGATCATGGGAAAGTGAAGGGCAGTGGCGTGGGTTTTATCTTGAGGGCCGAGAATCTCCATGGAGAAGGATAACCGCGGAGACTGCGGGTCGAGGTAGCATCGGACGGCGGATGCTGGGCCACGCGGAGCGCATGCGACCCCAGCTCCGGGGCGTCGAGTTGATGCATGCGCCGTGATAACATGCTGTCATGAACAGAGACTCGGGCTCTCCGCTGCTGACCAGCAAGGCAGGTAGGCTGTCGATTTCACGGGGGGCGGGGTGAATAGCCAAGAACATGACCGTAGCTTTCTCTTGGCCACCAGACTGGAACAGTGATGATTGGCGTAGCAGAAGGCGCGCTCAGACCTGGGAGTAGACCGATTGGGCCATTGGGGATCGCTGCAGCTTGGTTGGATCACTTGTAATGATGAAGAAGCTGGCCGAGAAAAGGCAACTCGTGAGAAGGTGGCTGGCGCCGAGAGGTTTGCTGTCGTAAGGAGTAGTAGATGGTCTAGGTATTTCACCTTCCCGATGAGTATAGGTAGGGCGTCGTGTTGCGCCATTCCACTTCGGACGCACCGCCGTTGAAGGCGGTTGAGCTTCGTCGACCAGGGCCTGGGGGCTTGGACTTGGCGCTAACGCATCATGGACAGGGGCCATGTTTCTTGACCTGCCTGTTCCCGTTGGCGGTGCGGGGATCCTCGCAATCCTTCTCCTCTCTTTAGGCACTCTCGTTGCCCAAGTAATTGGACATCCCTGTCGAAAGTTCTGCCTCCCCAGGCCTTTGTTCGTGGGCGAGAAAGTGCGGGGATACGGTTCCTGTCTGTTCCCCGCCTTGCCAGACTACCAATTCTGGGTGTTCACTGGGATAAGCAGTCAACTGGTTGGGAGGATCCTTCCAGATCACGAGTGACCACGAGGGAATCAACAGAGGTGCTGGGCTTTCTCAGCTGATATGGGATCGGCCGATGTTGGAGTGTTGGGGATTCCTCTGGATTGGCATGAGTGGCAGCTAACGATGGGCATTGTGTAGTGGTTTCCGCCGGAGACGGTTACGGCCCCAATGTATCCAGACAGCAGCACATATGGTCATTCTACAAATAGAGGTTGTGAAGATTAAGGCGCGCTGTAGAAGGCAGGGGGACGAACAGCCCCGCGTTGAGCCGCGCGTCTCAAGCCGAAGAGCCCCTGCACCTCATCACAGACACGAGAGATCTCGGCTCCGAACGGCTGGAAGCAAAACAGGCTCTGGTGGTTACTTGATTTATTGACCTCATAAAGCTTATCAGTGACTGTATCGGGCTTTCAGCAGCAAGAGAGCCAAGCTTCTCGACACGCGGGCTCCAAGCGCTGTTTAACTCCTGCCGGGTCAAAGTATTGCAGAACCAGGTGGTCTGGCGTTGATGTGGTCACTTTAGTCTCGACACCGTTTGCCAATGCACTCGTGGATTTCTATCGACCTCAAGACAGATTTAGTTCCAATTTTCTGTTCCCCATGCCTCAATTTGGAGTGGTCGGCTTACTGCAGGAGATTTTCCTACCCCCTGCTGCCTCTACAAGGTAGACTACTCTTCACAATGGTCATGTCAAGCACAGTTACTGGTCAACTTGGCAGAGCTAGATTGTGTTATTGAGCAGGATCGACACGATTGTCTTTGTTCACCCCACGAGCCAAGACTAAAGCAGGGCGTAATGTCGAACCCATGTTTCGAGCCATAGGTTCGAGTTGCTGGCGTGGAAGGCCAGGTGCCTTCAAAGAATGTAGGGCTTCCAAAAATCTGCCGGTGCTCGCCAAGGCTATTGTTCTGGACTATAGCTCTGAATTTCTTCAATAATGGTCGACTGACGGTGGAGATCTGACGCTGCTTTCATGTCAAAAGAGGAAAGGAAGAAGAAAAATAAAGCAAGGTAGCTTTCCAGATGAACTAGGTACGGAGGCCAGGTCAGGCCGGATCAGACCAGAGTGTTGAACCAGAGTGAAGGAATCGCCGGTGTCTGTTCCTCTGGAGCCCCCCGATTCCTCCTCGATACCCCCAAAACGACATTTGGCAGACACCAGACTCGTTTGTTTTAGTGAAAAGGATGTGGGAATTTCAGCGCAATGGCCCTAAGCTTTGGTTGAGGCTGTTCACATCTATACAACAACGAGATTAACTCAAGCTCCCCACCCTTGACCAACAATCATTCGGGACCCAGTGTCTTCGAATTTCGTCATGTGGACATGAAGAGAGCGTAGATACCTGCTTGGAGCCCACTGTACCGTTGCAGCGGCGATTCGAGAGAGCAATTCATAACATCATGCCACTGATACAAGGCCAAAGGAGCACCAAGATCAAAGGGAGAAGCTGTTGCAAAAGGCCGGCGCCCTAGCTAAAATCCGTCAAGATACAGTTCATGACTGGCCATGAACAGAATTGAAGCCTTACGTCTTACTGAATCTCTTCGCTTTGGAGGAGTCTGCTGTACGTTCGCTGTTCAGTCTGATCAGCACCCCTAGGCACTCTGCTTCGGCTCCTGCCACGTGGTGCACAGACCAGCAGCAAACCGAAGGTAGAATATCTGCACCGATTGAGCCTCAAAAATCAAAATTATCTGACCAGAAAACCCTACTCGATAGCGGCTGGGCATGGTCGATGTTGTGTTGTTCATGTTTGCGATGTCGGCCTCGGCGCCAAGCCAATGACGAGAGTCGATCTAATCTTATCAGATCATCTGATGCAGCGCCGGTGGCCGAGCTGATCTCGTCATCTGACCCGAGTTGCACCTCGCCTTGCTTTCGACCTCTCACCAACAACGCATCCGTCACACTCCGCCAAGCCAGCATCGATGGATGCGACGCAAACCCCTCGCTGGCTGCAAGAAGCCCTTTATTCATCCATCCTTCGAGAGGATGGCGTAACGGTGTCGCACGAGAAACATGGCGGTGGTAGTACCCCGCCAGATCCCGCCCGGCTCGCCTATCTGCGGCAATTGATCGCCGCTCTCCTCGAAGGACGACGGCTGTCTACGACGTACAACTATGTCCTCTTAGCCATTCTCGCCATCCTGACAGCATGTCATCTTCGGGAGAAACTCGTCGCAACAGCCTGGTGGAGAGCACGGTTCAGCCGTCGGAAAGCTCGGTGTAGCAATACCACGATCACAGTCTCATCACATCGGCCATGTCAACAAACAGACGCTTCATCATCTTCATCAGGCAGCACGATCCAGGGAACGGCAACTCCTCCTGAAGCCGGTAAAGACGAAGGAGCAGAAGGCGAGCGAAAACCTCTGCTGGGATATCCGCACAAGTCTACAGCCCTGTCACCCTCCTCTCGACCAGGGCCTTGGGCCCTCGTCTCATCCTTGCTTGCCTATCAACCTCGGCGGGTCCCCTTCGTCAACAAGCCGCTCCCATCAAACGGCACTTCGCTCTTCGTTCTTTGCTTCCTGGGAATCAATGTCTTTTTCCAGTTTTACCATGCTCCGCTCGTTGGCAATCTCCTCTTCGCCTTTGCCGACCGAGCCGGTTGCATGTTCGTCGTCAACCTGCCACTGCTGTATCTCTTGGCCGCCAAGAACCAGCCCCTGAAACATCTGACGGGCCAGTCTTACGAGGCCCTCAACATATTTCACCGTCGTGTCGGCGAGCTGCTCTGCCTGCTGGCGGCGGTGCACTTTGGCGGCATGATTGCCTTTCAGTTCTTCAAGCCCGAGTGGCTCATGCGCGGCACCTTCTGGGCCTTCCTGCAGCACCGCCTCGTGCTCCTCGGCATCGGCGCCTTTGTCTCGTACGAACTGCTGTACCTGACGTCGCTGGGCAGTGTCCGGCAGAGATGGTACGAACTGTTCCTGGCATGCCATGTCCTTCTGCAGAGTACGGCCCTCGTCTTCCTCTGGCTCCACTACCACACGGCGAGGCCCTATGTCACGGCGGCCTTGGTCATCTTCGCCGTCGATCGGCTCGTCTGGCGGCTGCTTATCAAGCAGGCGACGCTGTCAGCAGACCTCACCGTGCTGCCAGACGGCGACACGATTCTGCTCTCCGCCAATTGGGACATGGCGCCGGCGACAGCGTTGCAGAGGGGCATCAAGGCTGGGTGGAAGCCGACGGACCATGTGTTCCTGACGGTCCCCGCCCTCGGTCGCACGCATGCCCTGCAAACACACCCCTTTACCATTGCATCAGCTGCACCATCATCTACCGGCAGCAGCAGTAGCAGCAGCAGCAGCGGCAACAGCGGGAATGAGGCTCGTCGTGGTGCTGCCGGCGGCACTCCCCATGCATGGCTCAAACTATTAATTCGTGCGCATAGTGGCTTTACCAGGGACCTCCTCTACTACGCGCACAGGCACAGGACGGTATCAGTGCGCGTCGATGGGCCGTACGGGTCCTCGCACGCCATGGACACGCTGCGATCGGGAGATGATGTGATCCTCGTCGCCGGCGGTTCCGGCATCGCCGTCACCTTTCCCCTGGCCTGGGCCCTGCTTAAGGATCACCAAGAGGACGAGGAGCGAGGCCGGGATGTGCCGCCGGCAAGCCTGCTGCTCGAGTCGGGCGGCGACGAGGGCAAGGATGCTGCGCGGAGAGTGCGTCTGCTGTGGATCATCCACTCTGACGAGCACCGGTATTGGGTGCCCGGATCACTGCTCGACGACCTCGTCGCGGCCGGCCTGCACCTCGTCGTGTCGCGTCCCACGGCCGTGGCCGGGCGACCGGATGTGCAGGGCCACGTGCAGAGCTGGATCAGGGAGGCAGACGCCGACGGGCGGCAAACCCGCGTGCTCGTCTCGGGGCCGGATGGTCTCAATCGGGATGTGAGGAATACGTGCTCGCAGGCCATGTGGGGTGGCTCCGACGTTGGCGTCGTCGTAGAGAAATTCGGCTGGTAGCTGAGGGTTTATTATCAATGATGAAATTGACACCAACCATGCCTTTATCGTGCGCCTGTGCTTGTGTTTGTAGCTGATAGATTGCAAAATAGATTGGAGCTGGCCCATCCCCCATTTGCTCCAAGGACTTGCAAGGGCCAGGCCGCGACGAAAAAGAGTCCGAGACGCCGGTGGCTTTTCGGTGGTGAGCTGACATGGGCGCCGTCGCGCAGCCCCCTGACGAGCCACAACATAAACTCAGTCGAGCTTGTCTTGATGATGGCGTGCCATTTGCATCTCGAAGATCAGAAGCGCCTCGTCCCCGTTCGAGGAAGAAAGAGAGAAGAGACGATCGTCCCGAGAGCCAAGCATGCAGCCTTGCTGCCCTTCTCCGAGACACGTTTCTCCCTTGTCCCCTGACCCAGCTATCTTCGGCAAATAGGCATAGGGGGTGACCGCCGACGGCATGGTCGGCCCAGTCTCTTCGCAGGTGTCAACAGTGACCGTGTTTCAGTCTTTTACTAGGTGGTGGCCCTTTATTCTCCGCTGCCCGATGCACAGCAAATGAACCATGAACCAGCCAAGATGAGAAGGGGTTAGACGTGTCCACGAGCAAGTGGAGCGGCGTCAGACGTTCCCCGCTATGCCCCCTCACATTCACAATGAGATGGGCCATGGTGTTGGGTGTCCCGGCAAGCCCGGCAATGCGGCACACGACTCAGGGCCTTGGATTCCTCTTCTGGATCGGAGCCCGAGCCAAAAACGGAGGCCGCACCCGGGCGACCGGTACGAGAGCTATACGCAGTTGCAGAATGCCGCGCTGAAATGAGCTTTCGGGGCAAAGGAGGCGTTCGTTAGTGGGCTTGTTTGATTGGGAAATGACCAGATTCGGGATGAACATGGGATGAAGCCTGGATGGGGACAGTTCGTGGTCAAGGGGTTCAGCGTGGTGAAGATGATATAGTCGGGTTCATCCTGCTCAGTGCAGTATGTTGTTGCTTTCTGATCGTCAACGACGTCCTCTCTTTTCCGGGTACATCGTATCATCACTCTCGTTCTCTACATTCGTTTCTTCACACTGCGTTTCTTGCTCTCTATCGAATCTTTGCTTCTCTTCGTAAAAGGCCAGCGGTTGGATACTCCAACAGACAGTTCAATCTCCAACACACAGTTCAATCTCCAACACACAGCTCCATCAGCAACCATGCGTACCTCCATCACACTCTCCGCGGCACTGGCCGCCCTCCTTCAGACGGCGGCCGCCGTGACTGGTGCCGCCGAAGGCTTCGCCAAGGGCGTCACTGGCGGTGGCAGCGCCACGACCGTCTACCCCACGACCAACGCCGAGCTCGTCAAGTACCTCGGTGACTCGTCGGCGCGCAACATTGTCCTCACCAAGACGTTCGACTTCACCGGGACCGAGGGCACGACGTCGGAGACGGGCTGCGCGCCCTACGGCACCGGCAGCAAGTGCCAGGTCGCCATCAACAAGAACGACTGGTGCACCAACTACCAGCCCAACGCGCCCAAGGTGACGGTCAAGTACGACAAGGCGCCGTTCAAGCCCATCATCGTCAAGTCCAACAAGTCCCTCATCGGCCAGGGCAGCAAGGGCGTCATCAAGGGCAAGGGCATCCGCATCGCGGGCGGTGCCAAGAACATCATTGTGCAGAACATCCACATCACCGGTCTCAACCCCCAGTACGTCTGGGGCGGTGATGCCATCACCCTCGACGGCTCCGACCTCGTCTGGATCGACCACGTCAAGACGTCGCTCATCGGCCGCCAGCACATTGTCCTCGGCAACGCCGCCAACGGCCGCGTCACCATCTCCAACGAGATTGACGGCCAGACCTCGTGGTCCGCCACCTGCGACAACCACCACTACTGGGGCCTCTACCTGACGGGCGCCAACGACCTCGTCACCCTCAAGGGCAACTACATCCACCACACGTCCGGCCGCGCCCCCAAGGTCGGCGCCAACACGCTGCTGCACGCCGTCAACAACTACTTCTACGACAACACCGGCCACGCCTTTGAGGGCGACAGCACGGCCATGATCGTCGCCGAGGGCAACGTCTTCCAGAACGTCAAGGCCGCCCTCGACAGCAGCTTCGCCGGCAAGTTCTTCGCCTCCCCCGACACCAACACCAACAAGGCCTGCGCCGCCGCCCTCGGCCACAACTGCCAGCTCAACGCCTACGGCAGCTCCGGCTCCCTCAAGGGCACCAACACGGCCATCCTCGCCAAGTTCTCCGGCAAGAACGTCGCGTCGGCCGGCCTCGCCACGACGGCCAACAACGCCGTCACCAAGGCTGGCTTTGGCAAGATCTAACGCGAGGCGGGCTTGTCGTTGTCGGCCGCATAATGAGCCTCTGGGTTGGGGTTGTGTCCCTGGCATTTCCCCTTCATCGAATGAGACGGGCGCCAGTTCCAGAGGCGGTCTTGGCGGTCCACGTTGCATGCTTGAAAAAATGATTCTTTCTGTTGTACATAGATATCCTGCCCTTTATTAGCCGTTCATACGTTTTAGTTCACCGTCGTTCTGGAGCGATCTTGAATAAACTTTTTGTCCTTTCCATATTTGCATTGGCCTCACCTACGTAGGCAATGTGGCGGGCGGGCTTTTTCACTGCATGTCGTTTCGGCTGTGGGTTACATGCTGTTAAGCGCTGCCTTCACTGGAGCAAGGTTCGCCGCTCCGAGTCCGCGGGAGCAAGGCCGATTGTGTTCGAATCCGGCTGCATGTCTTGCCATGGCGAGCCCGTTCTACCGGCGCCGTGGCATCCCGCCGATCCTGTCGCGACAGCTCGCGCGCCGAGCCCCTAGTCTCGTGTGGGTGACGCCTCGACTTTTGTGTCTGAGTCCTGAGGCCGCGAGATCGGGATCCTCAGGTCCCCCTTGTCTCAGTTGATCATGTTCCATCGGCGATGGGATCAGCGTGACGATAGCGAGGGGTGATCGACCCAGACGAATGCAACACGGACAGAACGGAGGGGCCAAGAGAACCAGCCGGCTGGGCTTTCGAGCCAGAGAAGGCGACCCAGGTGCCCGTCGCGGGAAAGAAGATGGACTACGCACGCTGCGGATGCTGCTCTCCCGTCTCAGTCTCCGCTTTCGCGTCGTCTTGGCTCGCGCGGGGGAGGGGGGGATTGGCATGAAATGGAAGGATCATCGAGCGTGAGATTGTCATTTCGATGGACGCATGCGGTTCTGATGAAGATGCAACCTTGCTGCAGTTCTCACCAGGGTGTGTACTCTCGCCTGTTATGGTATCTCTCGTTGACGCGACGCAGGGGCACAGCAGCGCGCGAAAAGCGTCGGAGTTTTCGCCGGGTTGGTCCTCATTCGTGAAAACCCGGAGGATTTGGGTGTAAGGAGAGGCCAGAGAGGGAGACGGCCCATCATGTCATCCTGCCCTTCTCTCCTCCATTCATTCCACCGGCGTCAAAATGATGCCGATGAATGATACTCTGAATAAGCTTGACTTGGAACCGAGTGAAAGAATGAACAAGAGAAGCTCCACAAACGCCAAAACCCGAGCAGATCGGTTCGGAGTTTTCGCATGACAGGCGGCGCTGACGACTTGCCACGCGGCTTAGCATGTCAGGGACAGGTCTCTCTCTCTCTCTCTCCCCACATCAAGCTTCCATGCCTCTTCTCCCAACCCTCAGTAGCGGCCTTTACAGCGGTCTACCATGTACACCGTCCGTGTCGGCGCTTGCCTGCGCTACTGCCGGCATGAGTCGCGCCCTCATGTCATTTAAAAGTGACAAGTGGATCGGGATGGATTTGATCAGGGCCTTCGGAAGGGCCTGGACCCCTCTCACAAGATCGCTCCTCGCTGCTACTGGCATGCCATCTTCTGGGCAGTCCTGGCTGCCGGTGCTTGTTTGGGGGCCGTAGCGAAGTGCCGTTTGCGACCAAGTACCGTTGATGCCCGGCAGTGGCTTGATGTACTGCGCGCGGCTGGCTGATGTTTATCATGAGCTTATTCCTATCGTACCGCCTCGACGAGTGGCGCCGTCAAGAACAGTAGCATGCGGGCCGTCTCATGTGTACACAGCGTGGCGAGCACGCCGCGATTTCCGTCTCTCTACGTGTACGTCGTGCTATCCACGCGACAGGGGTGAAAGGCGGGCCAGGCGGCAGGTCGTGCGGTTTTGAGTTTAAGATGAAGGGATCGAGAAGGGGGTATGACCGAATACCCTGGGCACCCATCACGCACCAAGCCTAGGGAGAGAAACAGCTCGTCGGGGAAAGCAGAGACGAAAAACATGTCTTCCCCAGCCTTTCTGGATGCAGTGCACACACACACACACCGTGCTGTGCTTGGCCGCTACCCACATCATCATTCTCATCATGCAGCAAATGGCGAAAGCACCCCAGGGGCACAGTCAATTGAAATGGGCAGCAGTTCATCTAAGTAGGGCAGCGAGCGAATCATCAGAGACAATCGTTCATGCGAGGCCAGAGATTGCTGCCCGCGCCCTGTACAGCCAAACGCAAAGCTGGTACCAAAGATGACATCTCTCGACCGTCACCAACTCATGATGCAACTTGCTTCCATTCCGAAGTAGATTCCGAAGTCTGCAGAATAATTCCAACCGTGACGTAGCGCATGGCAGGGAGGGCACTTACGCGTAATGCCCGTTGAAAACTCGGCCTTCTAGATCAAGGAAATGTCTCGCCAGCTCTGATTCTTCAGCATTCACGAGTCAGCGCGATAGTCCGAAACCTGACACGACCATGACCCTCCCCTTTGACCCACGTGCGTTTGTACTTGTACATTCAAGCGTCTCTACACTGACATGACTGACCAAGTACAGCAGATGCTGAATGCCAAGGCGCCATGGCTCGAGACGGCATTGGGCAGGGATCAGCAGCGTTTATCTCCTAAAGCGCCTCCCGAGCAGCGGCCATCAGCACTTTAACGGCGGCGGGCGCCCCTCCCCCCCTTCTCGCACGTCTCTCTGATTGTTATTCTTTCAAAGTACGGTATTCTCTCAAGTGGGTAGGCGGGGGTGCTCACTCAGCACGTCCACGAGCTTACCAACACCTAGGTAGACAGAGCAGAGGTCAGATGCGAACATGGAGAATGCGCAAACCTTCAGCCTTCTATCGCCTGATGGCCCGCTGGCTCGGTTGCCGACGTCGGAATCGGCGGTGCTCAACTAGCAAGGCGCGCATTCTTCCTGGAGAGAGTACAGTAAACAGACAGGGCCTCCAAGCGAGGCAGGTAGTATTTCCCGCCCGGTCATGTCACATTAGACTTCCCGTCGCGGTAAGGCCGGCCCAAACATGCGCCTCTTTTCGGACTGTCCGGCGGCGAAAAAAGAACGACGCCATCGATCCCCTTCTGCCCGCGACCGTCTGCCAGTGCCCAGTCGTGCGGCAACGCCCTGTACACACGTCATCCCCACGGTCTTCTCGCCGCTGGTCCCGCGTCGTCTGGCGTCGCAGTGCCAGAGCGCCAAGCCGTCATGGAGCTTTCTGCTTTCGGCCGTGGTTTCCTTTCGAGCATGGAGGTGTGACTTAATATCCGGTGCCTTGTCACAGCTAGAGCAGCGCCTGAACCGGCACCTCGACCAAGTACCTTAAACTATGGATCCTCCTCGTGGGCCGTTACCCACCCACCCTGCCATGCCTTTACTCGGTGCCTACTGTGCTTTCGATACCTTACCCTGGTCGCTCAAGATATGTTCCTGCAGCCTTGGTCGGGCTTGGAAGTCATCCCGGCCCGTGCCCAGTCTGTTGTGTACGTTGTAAAGTAGGGGTGGTCGAGAGCTCCCTGCAAGATGGGATGGTATAAGAGCGCTCGCTTGGGACGATCTCATCCAGTCTCCTGGGAACTCGTCACAGCCCTTCTCTCTTTTCTCACCATCGAGCACCGGCCCGGAGTAACCATCTGAGTACCACTTTCACACGTCACCGACACCCGGTCTGAACCTTTACCATGCGCGCTGCCGTCCTCGTCACCCTGGCCACCGGCGCCCTTGCCGCGCGCCCTTACATCAACGAGCCCGACACTGGCATCGAGGACGTCCTCGGCGATACCCCTCAAGGCACTCTCGCCAACATTACCGGCCTTGTCGGTCTTCCCGACTTTGAGTGGGCCGCCAGGCGTTACCTTCCCATCGAGAACTACACCTACTACATGAACGGTGCCGGCGGCGAGTGGTCTGCCCGTAACAACCTCGAGGTCTACCACCGCTACAACTGGCGCGCTCGCCAGCTCGTCGACATCACCAACATCCCGGCGACGCTCCCGTATGTTTTCTCTCTTGGCGCCGCTCAAGGTCCCAGGTGGAGCGTGGAATCACTAACACCAGCGGCAGCACCACCATCCTGGGTTACAACTTTTCGACCCCCTTCTTCATCTCGCCCTGCGCGCGTGGTGTCAACGGCCACCCCGATGCTGAGCTGAACCTCGTCAAGGGCGCCGCCGCTGGCAACATCATGTACATGGTGAGTGTCTTCGCACCGCGGCAAGAAAGTCCCCGATGGAAGCTAACCTGACGCAGCCTTCTGCCTTCTCCAGCAAGTCTGCTGCCGAGATCAGCGCCGCCAAGGCCAAGGACCAGGTCCTCTTCCAGCAGCTCTACCTCACTGCCAACCTGACCGCCGATACTGCCACCCTCCGCAGGTACGAGGCCGCCGGCGTCAACGTCTTCGTCCTGACCATCGACTCCTCCGCCGGCAGCAACAGGCAGCGCGCCGCCCGCTTCGGCGTCGGCTCGGCCAACACCCAGCTCACCAAGCTCACCGTGAGTTCCCATCCCCCCACATACTGACTCGGCGCCATGGACCCCACGCGAGGAAGAATTGGTGTGACTGACTGGCGCGAATCTAGTGGGATTACTACGAGCAGCTGAAGAAGGTCACCAAGCTGCCCATCGCCGTCAAGGGCGTCACGAGCGCGGAGACGGCCCGCCAGGCCATCAAGCACAAGGTCCCCGCCATCCTCGTCTCCAACCACGGCGGCCGCTCCTTCGACGGCTCGCCCTCCTCCCTCGAGATCCTCCTCGAGCTCAACCAGAAGGCCCCCGAGGTGTTCAAGAGGACCGAGGTCTGGGCCGACGGCGGCGTCCGCTACGGCGGCGACATCCTCAAGCTCCTCGCGCTCGGCGCCAAGGCCGTCGGCGTCGGTCGCCCGTACATGTTCGCCAACATTTACGGCACCGAGGGTGTCGAGAAGGTCACGGAGCTTCTGAGGCGCGAGCTGATTGTCGATGCCGGCAACCTCGGCCTCCCCAGCCTCAAGGAGATTGACTCGACCTACGTCAACTGGACCCCCAACAACTGGTACTCTTAGATGCGGCGTGTTAGAAGCGCCCCGCCTGTTCGCATTTTTCCATCACTTTTTTCCCATGTACATATTGGTCTGTGGCCTTTGTGGAATATACCTTGGTGTAAGCGTGGCGGCTAGCCTCTCGGAGACGGCATTAGAAAAACTTTGACGGCCGAAGACAGAAGACATCATTCATCCAGAACCCCATGACGCGTGTGCTTCCTGCGAGATACCGGCGTGCCATCTGAGGTTACACGAGTGCCATCCCAAGTGGACTCTGCAGCGGGGCTAAAGTTATCAGATGCAAACTTTGATCCGCACGACAGATCCTCGGACGGAGATTACGGCACGAGAGATCCATCGGGGCGCACTCCACGCACGTAACCGAGCGAGGGGCTCGATCCAGTGGATTGGTCGACGCTTCGTGGTAGTGGATGCCCTCAAGCGAGAAATGATTTCGAACGTCTCATCGGGCGGCGGAGCACGAAACAAGAAGACGTACAGCCCACCAACTGTTGCAGTTGTTACACGCCCCTCCAGTGAAAAAATACGCGCGTTGCGGCGTGGACCCGTACGTCTTGACCCTGAACGACCGGTAGCCGATCATCCAGGCCGCGCAGGTGTTGTCGTAGACATTGACGTTCTGCGACTGGCCGGTGCAGCGCTCGCCCGAGAAAACGTCGACGACAAAGGCCGAGGCTGTGCTGGCGAGGGCCATGAGGCCGAGCTGCTGGGTGAGCTGCATGCTGAGGTTGGAAAGGTGCTGGTCCCTTGTTGCGAGCCTGAGAGTAATGTGCTGGAGAAAGTGGAAGGGGGAGAGAGCACGGGCAAGGTCTATTTATACAAAACCCAACCAGGACCTTTCCAAAGTCATAGGTGATGGACGAGACCATTTCGAGCAACGCCATCGTGTACGCTTGTAGACGCTGCAGGGCGCTTGACGACACCACAGTTCCCAATATACAGACTGTCAGCGGACAGAATAACCAAACATTAGATTCTCGCCTTCAGGATTTCTCAATATGGCAGGTCCGAAGGAACTTTGGCACTCGTATCTCCGTGTGAGGCAGACGCCAAGCAATCTCAATTCCAGTTCGCCAGCGTCGGTTGTCGTGGATCATCTTCTGACATGTTCCTCCTCAAGTCTCCAAGCGCTTACGCCGCGTCCACGGCCAGACACGATTGTCTGTCTTGGCTGCAACATCAGGTCGGTAGGATCCCACTCATAGGTGTTGTTGAGCGGGGGGTTGTGGCGGCTCTGCTGACCTTGCTGCATATCATACTTGGCAGTGCTGCATGCAAGGGACTTTGGGGGCTGACAGGTTGGACATGACTGTCAAGATGTTGTGATGCCTGATGGTATGTTGTGAAACACGATCGTTCGTTGTGCATCTGGTGCAACTGGTACGTTGCAGACGATAGGAGGACATTGGGCACCCGAATATTCACCATGCGAAAAAAGACAACAAGCGTTCGGTCGCGATACACATTGGTGTTCCAGTACAAATCGCACGTGATGCAAGGGTTCATGAATCAATGAGTTAATGGCATTTACTTATGGGTATTATTCGGCCTCTTCACGCAGTGTCTTCTCCGTCTCAGGCTCGTATCTCGTGATCATCAACACAATTACACCGCCCGCAAGAGCAGCAACAGCACCTGGTCAACAGTCAGTATCAACCGGGTACGAGGCAAGCAATGGCGATGACAGGAACAATGACAGTAAAGGGCCACTGATGCACGCAAGCTCGGCTGTGGAACTTACTTATGGTGAACGCCCACCCAACACCGATGGCCTCCATGATAGGTACCCTCGACGCAACCGTTCCAGCGGCAAAGGTGTACTGTACGATATACTTGCTGCTGATCGCCTCCGTCTTCTTCGCCGGGAGCACCTCTGCTGTCGTCAGCTTCCACGGCCACATGACCGGATCTCGCAATGTCATTATATGCACAAGACTCACCAGCAGAGTACGTATTTAGGCCACTGAAGGAGGCCATCAACCCAAGTCCCGCGAGGAACGCTCCTATCCCTGGGGCGGCCCAGCCGCCGACTTCCCTGCCCAGACTCCAGCCGAATAGCAGCGTGCCCAGAGGCAGCACGATAAAAATGGCGGGAAAGCTGCTTTTGAGTCGATCTCGCGGTAGGCGCAAGCCATTGCGCTTCTTGATGTACCGGCGCACTGTCTGATCCGATAGTCTGCCCCCAATGGTGCTTCCAATCAGGAAGCCGGCGCCGGGGGCCAGGTAGAACAGACCCGAGGTGAGCGGCGAAGAGGGGCCGAAGCGAGTCGTCAAGGCAGCGCGTATAGAGCCAAGGAGACCATACTGGTTGAACGAGAGGAGGCCGCAGGTGATGTTGGCAGCGAGAATGTTGATGTGCTCAAAGACGCGAAAGACTGGCATCGGCGAGAACTGGGCAAGGACGTGTTTTGACGTGGTAGGCTGTGCCTCACGAGGCGGATCAAGTGGCACATAGAACCAAGCCAAAACAAGACCAATGAGCGTCATGCCGGCCTGCACCCCGTAGATGACGCGCCAACTTGTGTAAGTGGCGATGATACCACCAGTGAGTGGTGCGATGGTGTTAGCACTAACGCAAGTGCCAAGGAAGAAACCTACAGCCGTGCCGCGGACGGTCTTTTCGGTTAGTATTTTCTGCCCTCATTCTTCTCCTCACACGTGAGGATGAATCAACTGAGCCGCCTGGACACGTACAGGTTCAAAAATATCTGACAGAATGGTCTGTCCAGAGACCAGAAATACCACACCTGTAGATCCACCAATGACCCAAATGGCTGTGAAGCCTGCCAAGTTCGGCGCCAGAGCCGATCCTACTGAGCAAGCGCACAGAATGACGGCCGCGGCGAGGTACGCCGGCCGCCGACCCACTAGCCGGCCTATGGGCACCCACAGCAACGGCGAGCTGGCCATGGCGAGGAAGACACCGGCGTTGGCAATGCTGATGGCTGTGACAGGGACGTTGAATTCGCGCGCTAGTTCGGGCGCGACTGCAAGGACAGACGAGGTCGAGAACGTCATTGGTATGGGCAGCCAGCAGATGGTAAACAGGGTCACCCATCGTCGCCAGAGAGCCATGGGCACGACGGCGTCGTCGACGGCGGCAAGGTGCCGGGAGGGCGCCGCCACTGGGATATCGGAGGCCATGGGCTCCAACGGGGCCGACATCAACAGCGCCGGTGGGTCGGGGAGCCTTCGGGAGTCGACGGAGTCCATTTTGGGCGATGCGTCTCGGCGTGCCAAGAGTTGCTTGGGGGGGTACCGAGCAGATGATCGATTGAGGCTCAGCCGGCCATGGTATAATTGTTATATCGCAAAGAATTCCCAGGCAGCGGACGAAAGACGGCGAGATCAGCCATCTTGGCCGTGTCCAAGTGAGTCAAGAGTAGGCGAATAGTGGATATCGTTCTGGCGGCGAAGCGCGTCGCGCAGCAGAATCTGCACCAAGTCGGTCACTCGGAAGAGATGCCGAAGGAGGCCGGACCTCGAGTAGCCGACTCGGTAATAAGGGCCATCTCGAAAGGATTAGGGCGCTTTTCGCCCCCTTCTTTCATGCTTGGAATTCGCCCAGTGCTGACTCATCTCGGCAACATGGTTCGTTTGGCCGACGACATCGGAGCCCTCCTCTCAGTCCTCTCAGTGCTGTTCAGAGTTGGCTAGACAATTGGCCTGTCTCGACTGTGCCCGAGGATACGATGTCGCAGCAGCGGGCAACGATGACTCCTTTGGGGTCGGCGATCTGTCTGTGAATGTCAATGGATGCTGTCGCCTCTGCATTCTCTTCCTCTCTCTCATCTTACCTCTCACTCACAAGGCAGTGGAAAGCCCTCCGAATGCACCCCCCATTGTCCTCGTCGAGCGCCCGCCCGGCCGTCAATCGTGAACCGGCCCCGATACCATGAACTCCATCTCCGTCACCCCGGACCGAGCGTCAGGGGCGCTCAACACCCCCGACTCAGACCCTACGCCAGCGTCACCCGGCCGTCGGCCAAAGATCAAGTCGACCGCCTGCAACCGCTGCCATGCCCGCAAGGTCAAGTGCTCCGGCGGCCGACCTTGCGAGAACTGTCGTCAGGCGAGCAAGGCCGTCGATTGTACTTATCCCCGGCGCAATCGACAGGTCAAGGTCAGCCAGCGGCAAGTCAACCCCCGCCCCGTTCCGTTCCGACCCGGTCCCTCCAATAATCGTCCCAAGCCCCCTGGCCAAGGCCCCTCCCCGGCTGACCCCGTTCAGGTACATAGACGATCTCATCGAGGAAAACAAGCGGCTCAAGGGCCTGCTCGATGACACGACGAACCCCAACGCCAGCTCACTCTCGGCGCTTTCGGTCAGCACGGCCCCGTCGCCACGCCGGGACCTGGACGTGCTTGACAGCCCAGATGTGGCGCGCCACAACACGAGCAACATCATGCTCGAGGTCCGGCCCTGGTTCGTCCCATCAACCGACCAGCAGACCCCCATTCTCATCGGCGAGGTGCCCGATGCCTCGTTTTCGACTCGCTTTCGGCAGGCCATCTCGGCGCCGCATGAGCAGCCGTACAAGCACATTCCTCGGACGGCGTTCGCCACCGACGAGCGCATTGCTTGCCTGACCGAGTCTGAGTGCGCCTGGCCGAGTCCTTCGCGCGCACGATTTCTCGTTGAGGTCGCCCTGCGCTACGTAAGCCGATGTTACCACATTGTGCGACGCAGTGTGGTCATGGATGCGCTCGAGCACAGCATCCACAATCCGGCCTGGGGTGAATCGCTCATTCGGTGCAAGCTCTGGGGTCTGTTCGCCATTGGCGAGTTGTACTCGGCGCGATCGATTGCGCCGGGCAAAGATTTTCCTGGGTTGCCGTACTTTGCGAAAGCGAGCCGCATGTTGAGTGTTCTGAGTGAGCGACCCACGATTGATGCGATTGAGATTATCCATCTGCTGGTGCGTGTCCCTGCTGCTGTGATCCATTCGAGGCCGTCACGTCGTGAAGCTAATGGGGCCAAAAGTCCTTCTACTCTCTCGCCCTCAACAGGCGATACACCTCCTACATCCTGGCGGGCATGGCCGTGCGCATGGCCGTGCTCATCGGGCTGCACCTCAACATCCCGGCGGCGCAACTACCGGATGCCGCGGTCCGGGAGCACCGCAACCGACTCTGGGCGACGACTTGCATTTTCGATCGCATGTGGGCTTCCAAGCTGGGCCAGCCGGCAGCCATTGGCGACCGCGACATCATGGTCGATCCCCCCTCGAACGCCAGCGTCGACGCCGCTGTAGCTGGCGACTTTGGCGACTGCGCGTATTACATTGCGAGCTCGCGTCTCGCCAGCATCACCAGCACCATGGTTCGGTGCATCTACAACACGCGGGATCAGAGCACCACGCTATCGAGCCGCGTCCAGCAGACGCTCAAGGACCTTCGTGAGTGGGTGCAAGAGCTGCCGAGCCACCTTCATCTTGATGCGGCGCCGCACAGCGAGGCCGCGTACAAGCCAACGCCTCTCCATCTGTCTTTCAATCAGTCGGCCATCCTGGCGACGAGGCCCATCCTGCTGCATGTACTGAAGACACACGCTGCGGCGTGGCCGGCGCCTGCTGGCGCGATGCCCGTGCCGGCGTCGGCCATGACGATCGTGGCCGCTTGCGTTCGATGCGCTCGCCACTCTCTGCATCTGTTGACAGAGTGCTGGATCGACGGCTCGTTCGCGACGTTTGACTACTTTTACACGTCATATCTCTTCTCCGCGTTGACGGTGCTCGCCGTGTCGAGTCTTCTCGACGGGCCCGACGCTGCCGCCGATCGAGAGCAGTTCGACTCGGCGTCCGGGTTGCTGGCGCAGCTTGCGGACGGTGGAAACTTTGCCGCGAAAGAGGACATGAAGCACGTGGATGCCATGAAGGCGGCCGTCACGGCGGCTGCATCGAAGAAGAGAGGCGTCGTGGGCCTCGAGGCCACAACGGGACTCGATGATTTCGCCAGCGTCATGTCGCCAGCGGCGTGGGCATCCTCGACGACGGCGGTTCAGGGTATGGCGACGGCAGGCATGGCACTGACGGAGCCCTCACTGCAGGAGCTGCTGGCCGAGCCGTTCCTCGACATGCAGTTCATTGACGCGTCGGTGTATGACGATTATTCGCAGGGGCTTTACTGGCCCGACTTTAGCACCGAGAACTGGACGCCGGAGACCTGGGTTCCCGGCAGCTGACTGGCCGTTGAAGTAGGCTGCCTGGCTGAACGAGAATAGAGCATGGTTGGCTGCATGAGTGAGCGAGAATAGAGGCATGGCAACTGGATATCGGAGGTGCTGTGTGTTGGTGGTTCACTCCATGTTTCTGTTCATGGATTTCAGCGGTGCTTTCCGAAACATGTTGACTTTTGCTGTCGTTGTTCTGCTGGGCCACGAAGGTGATGGGAAGGAGGAGTGGTAATTATGTAGACAGCCGTGTTTGTGCTTATATACAGCCATGTCATAGACTTATTATCATTTAACCAGATCATGCTTATGTCGGTGTCTACCCCGCGATGCCCCGCCATCATCCACAGCAGACACATCCAGTGTACGGCATTCGTGCTTCGAGCCTTTTGTCCATCTCGAGCTTCCTGCGTCATCACGAGCCAAATCCTCAAGATGCCCAGTACGTTACTCGGCCACATAGCTCATCAAGCCAGCCCTAACAACACACCAAGTCTCCTACAGCACCGGCGAGAAGCGGTCTTTCGGCTGGGTCACCGCGCGCGAGCGCTGGCCTGTCATCATTGTGCGCATGAATCCATCCCACGCCTGCCCCTTCCACCTTGCTAATGTGCGGCCTCAGACGCAAGCCATCGACGACCTCTACCGTTCCGTCTCCGACAGCGAAGAAGGCGAGAAGAAGACCGAGGGCAAGGCCGTCACCGAGAAGATCGCCCGCCTCAAGTATGAGGTTCAGCACGACCGTCCTCTGACGCCGATTGACGATGACGGCGAACCCGACGTCAAGCTCTACAACGATGAGCTCGCCAGTCTCGGCGAGCCCACGTGGCTGGATACGCCCTGGCTCTTCTGCGAGTGCTATCTCTTCCGGTGAGATTTTTTTTCGTTAAAATATTTCATATTTGCTGCTGGTTCCACGACCCCAAAGGACTATGGTTCCACGACCAAGGGCAACGTTGACAGGTGCCGTACAACAGTCGCATCAGCACCTACTTTAAGCTCTCGACGCACTGGAAGAACTACGATGTCTTTGCCCGACAAAAGATCAACACGTTCCGTTCGTCCCGTCCCGCCGTCCTCGAGCTCGCCGCCCGCTTCAAGGAGCTCGTGCAGCAGCTCGAGGCAAACGGCAGCGCCACCCAAGACGAGGCGGCCGAGAAGCTCCTCTTCGCCGAGATGTGCGAGATCTGCCTCTGGGGCAACGCCACCGACCTCTCGCTCCTGACGAGCCTGACGTACGAGGACATCCAGAAGCTGCAGGGCAGCGAGGCGCGCAAGGCGTCGGAGAAGAACATTCTGGCCAACGACCTGCCGGCCGCGTACGCCGTGCTGAAGCAGGCCGTGGCCGAGGGCAAGAAGGAGCGCCGCGTCGACATTGTGCTCGACAACGCAGGCTTTGAGCTCTACGTCGACCTCATCCTCGCGGGCTACCTCTTGTCGGCCGGCCTCGCGACGCACATTGTGCTGCACCCCAAGTCGATCCCGTGGTTCGTCTCGGACGTGCTGCCGGGCGACTTTGCGGCCCTCCTCGGCGCCATTGCCAGCCCGAAGCGCTTCTACGAGACGCCGTCGCCGGAGGAGGAGCTGCAGGGCAAGACGCTCGAGCCGCTGAGCGACGCGGACCACGAGAGCCTCGCCTTTCTGTTCGGCGAGCTGACCAAGTACCACGCCGAGGGCCAGCTGCTGCTGCGGCCGAACCGCTTCTGGACGCACGGAGGCAGCTTCTGGCGGCTGCCCGAGGAGGCGCCTGAGCTCTACGAGGACCTCAAGGGCAGCGAACTTGTCGTTTTCAAGGGCGATCTGAACTACCGCAAGCTGACGGGCGACGTACGTACCCGACGTGTGTCTTTGTTTTTTCTTAATCGTTGTTGCTAACGATGACAGGCCGACTGGGACCCGACGACACCCTTCCCGGACGCGATCAAGACGCTCGGCCCCGGCTCGGGCCTCAATGTGCTGGCGCTCCGGACGTGCAAGGCCGACGTTGTCGTCGGACTGCCGGCGGGCAAGGACGAGGAGTTGCGGGCGCTGGAGGGCGGAGGCGGCGACTCGGGGGCGCGCAAGTGGGCGTGGAACGGCAAGTGGGCTGTCGTTTCGTTTTCGCAGGGCAAATGATGGGCGTGCTGGGTTGCATGTGTGTGTGCGATGGTCTGGGAACCATGACCAGCTTCATAGAGTATAGAGACGTTTCTGAAGGCGCGCGCTTGGAGATGATCGTGATCGCTCACGATGATTCATAGCGGGTCCCACGAGTGCATGCCGCATCTTTCATATCAATCCTCGTCGTCGTGGCCTGCGGTTTATTTGCTCTGGTTTCATATAAGGGGACACTTCAGATGAAAGGATGATGGCAAATTCGTCACGATACTCTTCTTGGCTTCTTGCGCCATAACACCTTGAGGCAACCAAAATGGCCCATCACCAGCCCATCCGCGTATTTCCCTCAACACCAGGGCCTCCAACCACGACGGCCCTGTCCATCCTGGACAACACGGTGGCTCGGTTCTCTCCAACAGGCGCCATCTGGGTCTTCGACGCCTATCCTCCGCTCCCTCGCCAAGTCTTCCTCTCTCAGCTTCAAGCCGCCTTGACCAAAGCACTCTCCTCATTCCCTCACTTTGCCGGCCAACTGCACTGGGACACGTCAACCCAGCGCTTCCACCGCGCAGCCGTCACCTACGGCTCCCCCTCCGACCCAGGCGTCGAATACGCCGTCGTCGCCTCGTCTCAGGACATCTCGATCCCCAAGGCCCCCATCTGGCAGGGCACATTCCCGCAAGATGCCCTCCTCGCCTCCCCGACGCCCCTCGCGCTGCACGACCTCAAAACAGCACACGGCCTGCCCGCCATGATCGTCCAGATCACCCTGCTGCCCACGGCCTACGCCGTCGCTGTCAAGCTGGCCCACCCGCTCGCCGACGCGCACACGCTCCTCCAGTTCATGCACCACTGGTCCGCCGCCCACGCCGCCCGCCCACCGCCCACGACACCCTCCTTCGCCCCGCGCCGTCTCGACGCGCACGCCGGCGGCAGCCCGACGCGCAAAAGAGACGACGCCCTGACGGCGCAAGCGAGAGCCCTGCCACTGCACAGATTCGACTGGTGGGCCACAACCGCACCCGCCTACCCGCCCTTCCTCGCGCCGACAACAGCCAACTCGAAACCCACAGCCGCGCATCGCCCAGCACCACCAACAGAAGAAGAACCCCCGCGGCCCGACCTGCAGATCCCGCCCTGGCCAACATGGGACCCCCAGCGCCCCGTGGCCCACGCGGGGCGCGCGAGGTCGTTGCTCGGCCGGCGGCGGTGGCGGTGGCGATTCGGCGCTGTTTGCAGAGGTTTACGCCTGATGCTGTTGGGGCTGTGCTGCATGATGCCGAGTGGGAGGTGTCGCCGCAGAGAATCTGGCAGGCGTTTTTGGGGGAGAGGCATGTTCTCGTGACGTCTTGGTTGAGGATTGGCGTGTATGAGGTTGAGTTGTTTGGGGCGAGGCCGGCGTGGGTTCACTCTGTCATGCCGAGGATGGATGGGTGTGTGCAGGTCATGGAGGGGAGGGAGGGGGGCATGGATGTGTCGGTGTACCTGGAGGCGCAGGCGATGGACAGGCTGTTGGCCGATCGTGAACTTGGAGTCTAAGGGGTGATGGGTTCAGTAACTTGATGGAGTCAGCTGTCACGATCAGTCAGCATCCACGGTCTATGGTCGTACTTTGCACCAACCCGTCTATTCAATATCAACTCAAGAGCACCAAAGAATGGAAAGTGAAAATGAAATGTCAAGGGGCCGTGAAACCCAAGCATCTCCTCCGCCAATTTGTACTTCAGCCGTGAGGTCTGATTACCTCGTCCCTCCCAGTCACTCTTCCTCCTCGCGTGTTGACTCCATTTTCCTGGGTCTTATTTGGATTATCTTACTGGAACAGCCCGAAAATGCCTCGACGCTCCTTCTCCTTGCGCTGCTGCTTCCATCCGGCGCGCCCACCGCTTGTCCAGCCAAAGTCATACCCTCCATAGTAAGAGGTCGGTCCGCTGGGCTCGCTACTCTCGCTCGTCTCGGGGCCCGTCTTAGTGCTCGTCACAAGCGTGCTGGGCGGGGCATCGGCACTGCCAGAGGGTGTAATCGGCAGCGCGTCGGAGACGGTCGACTCGCTTGAAGGTGTCGGCTCGGGATACACTGTGCTCGGCGTGGGAAGGTAGGACGGCTTTTCGCTGATGATGGAGGTCGTCGATGAGTCGCTGGACACCGGTGCCGACGACCCGGCCCGTGACGTACTTCCGCTGGGCAGCAGAGACGAAGTTGCCGTGCCGTTGCTTGGGAAGCTCTGAGAAGGGTTCACGGGGAGGTTTCCTGACACGGTGCTCTCCTCGGGAGGCGGGTAAGGAGGGTATGTCTGTGACTCGACCTCGGTCGAGCTCTGCGTTGGTGTGATGGGTAGATTGCTCGAAACCGTGCTCTCTCCAGAGGTGCTTTCTACAGGTGGATACGATGGGTACACCTCCGTAGAGGACAGGCTTACCGAAGGCGTCACAGGGAGGTTCCCGGATATCGTACTTTCAGCAGGAGGAGAATATGTCGGCGATGAGGAAACGTCTGATGAAGGCGTAATCGGCAAGTTGCCCGACACGGTACTCTCGTTAGGAGGGTAAGAGTCGGTCTCACTTGATTCGGGCGCGGATGAAGTCTCAACGTCGGACGAGTGCGAGCGAGTCGCGCATGGCGTCTTGGTCTTGCTTGTCGACGATTCGGATCCGGTCACCGTGGAGCTCTGTTCCGCGGTCGAAGTATCCGAAATGATAGGGAGAGTTTCGCTGATACCAGTCCCAGACGACTCGACCGAGCTGGTTTCTGAGGTGGTCCCTACATCAGACGTGACCGTGAAGCTGTACAGGGACGAATTTTCTGTGGCGCTCGACTCAAACACAGAGGTCTCCGAGATGATGGGGAGAGTTTCACTGATTCCAGTCCCGGACGATGCGGTAGAGCTAAAGTCTGAGATGGTCGGCGTGGGACCCGTAGTTGTCGAGTTTCCATAGGGAGATGAGCTCGTCACGCTGTTGGAAACAGAGGCAGAAGTACCCGAAGTGACCGGCACCGTATCGCTGACTCCCGTTCCAGAAGACTCAATATAGCTGCTGCTGAGATAGCCGCTCCCAGATGGTCGTGGCGACGAGGTCGGGTAGGACAAGTGCGACGAAAGCTCAATAGAGGTTGAGCCACTTGGGTTTGGCAGGGCACTTGAAAATCCAGAAGAAGGGTTCGAGCTCGTGCCTGGCGGTGTGTAGGTATTGGTGCGTGTCACGGTCGTTTCGATCGTCGTGGTAGTCGTGAGCTCTACGGACGAGCTTTCGAAGCCGGTCGACGAGGAAATGACGCTTGCGCTTGACACTGTGGCGGTTGGGTACCTGGTGGTACTGCTGTTGCCCCAGCTGCTAGAAGTTGACAGGCTTGGCGACACGCTCGATAAGCCAGAGGATGGCCCTGGTGGGTAGGTGTAGACACTGCTGCTCTCAATACTGGAAACCTCGGATGTGACTGTGAGCGAAGATGTGTCAGTCGGCGCGGACGAGGATCCAGGCGGGTAAGTTGCACTGCCGCTACTTGTCTCAACATCCGACGTGCCAGATGATAAAGGCAGCGTTGAGGAGACGCCCGTTCCTCCCGATGAAGTCCGTGTTGGATAGGACCAAGTCGAATTGGTCCCGGCACTACTCGACTGAGACGATAGAACGGGAAGTGTTGACGAGATTCCAGTCCCAGAAGAAGTACCAGAAAATCCGCTGCTGATGCCGCCAGAAGTCACGGCGCTGGACGAAGGCAGGCCAGAAGTAGGAAGGGACCCGGTCGCTGTGTCACTGCTGGTTGCGCTACGAGAAGCAAAGGTGGACACGGAGCCGGTCACAGAGAAGGAACTCGGGTAGACATGGCTTCTCGTGCTGTTCGCATAGAGTGCTGACGAAGACGGTGTGCCATCGTATGACGAGGAAAGTGAGGAGCTGATACTCACAGACGGAGCAGTTGTCGAGTCATTGCTGAGAGCGCTCGTCGTAGTCGTGGAGTTAGAGGGGACGGAAATGCTGACAGAGGAAAGAGTAGAAGAAACAGCTCCACCCGAGCTGGTGATGGTGTATGGTAGGCTCGATGAAGGGCCAGAGGGCGACACAGTCGAGTTTGTAAATGTGCCTGATGTTGGGACAGAACTTGAGATGCCAGCAGAGGAGCTAATCTGTCCAGACGTTTGGGTCGACGAGATGCTGGGAAGCGTGGATTCGACCGTACTGGGCGTCTCGGTGACAGTGGTAGAAGATTCCACACCTGAGGAAGCAGAGCTTGCCAAACATGGCGCACAAGAACTAGCCGACTGAGTCACGGTCACGGTGGTGGTTGCACAACCTACAGCACACGTAGTGACGGTGACAGTCGATGGCGGTTCGTACTCATTGTAGGCCTGGGGGAATGCCCTGACTGCAACATTCCTAATCGCATGGTCAGCAAAAGGTTTTTATGCATATGGTCCGTGACGCTTACCAGAGGCTTAGCAATGCCAGATGACCGAGGATATTCATCATGATGATACGAGGGCCAGATGTAGAGATTTGAAGAGATAAACGAATGTGATGCCCAACCAAGGGCGGAGATGATGTTCCAGCTACTGTGTCTAGCCTTGAGATTCAACCCGTTGAAGCACAAGACAGACCAGCATCGAAGCTGCTGGCTTTATATACCAGAAAATGGCCTTGACTCTGTTCTCCGAGACCCCGTATCTCAAGTCTTTCACAGGCACGACAGAATGTTATGCAATCAGCTGTACCCGTCTGACCCGCGGCTTCCCATGGCCCATGCTGGCTCCCAAATTAGACAGCTTTTCGCTGCGGCCGCGTATTCACCTTGAGCAACGGCTTCAAATCTTGTCGGGACCGCCCATGCAAGTGCCCGTGCTACCCGCCACCAACTTGGTTGGGGGTAAAGAGGCGGTGGCTGCTAGTTCATGGTGTCTTGCTTTCGACTGTTTGGAGATAGCGTGGTTCTCAATGGTGTGAACAGGGGCTGCCAGCCCCTGACAGCAACACGGCCATTGACACACTGGGACTATTATCCAACATTTCGAATGGAGTAGCTGAGATTGACGAGCTATTCTCTTCGTATACCTGTGGCGTAAGGGGTGAAGGTACGAATCTAGAGACGCTTAGAAATGACAGACCAAAGGAGCTGCATTTCTTCGTACAGTAGCAAATCCGCGTGATGGGAACTTATGGTGGACCTCGAACGCCGATATGCTCGTTGGGAGGCAGGGCTCCGATGGCCTAGTCTTCGTAATTTGAACTGTGTGCATGTATATGCTGATAGTTCCCGTGTACAAACGCTTGCCTTCCGTTCTTAATTATGCCCCATTTGGCAGCAGTTGCAGTCACTGGCTACGGCCTTCCGAAGGCCCCGATGACGCATCACCGGAGCCGAAACTGGAGTCGAGAGGCAATGCATATGCAGGTGATTTTTGGACTTACTTACAGTTTCTCATGGCCAAGTCTATTCGGCTGCAGGCACAGTCAACTTCAAATCAATGTCCACTGAATCCAATCTCTCCGAACGCTCAGGGGCTCTTCTTACCCCGGTTCCCAACACGACTGGAGGTAGCGTTTGCCGTAGACAGGATAAAGCTGCCCCTTGCATCAACATCGACACATTCCTTCGCTGGAGCTCAAGGTACCGTGGCCTCCGGATCTGTCGAACAGGCGAAGACCGGCTTTCGCAAGTTCATGTCATACAGCCTCGGGTACCTGCAGCAGCTGACCTGCGTGGAACCGACGATTGTCTGCTCGTTCCCCGGGCTATCTGCGGACCGCCGGCTGAGCAGATGTTCAGAGCAGTCGTGGCCACGAGGTCATCAACCTACGCAGCCTAGCAGGGAAAGCCAACGTGGCTGCCCAACAGTGCACAGCTTTCAAGAGTGGCCCCACCGCAACCCAGACATACTCTGTTTCTCTAGCTCGGCTCTGGAGTTACAAGGTATGTGGATCAGGGCGTGGAGGCAGCGGTCAGGGAGCACAGAGTCGTGGTAATTAGCTTGAGCCAAACTGGCGGTGTTGAGAGGAAACAACCTTGCGATCATCTCGTATGCAGATCGTGGATGGATCGCGCCATGCGTGCATCAGGTAGTGACTGGATACTGTGCATATATGGCACTTGACACAGCGTGCCGATGAATGCGCAATGCTGCTGCAGTGTACTCGTCAAGGGTCGTCAGGGACACGGGGCGGAGACCTGCTCCCTGTGGCGCCCGCCTTTTTGTCGTCGGCGTCGGGTCAGTTGAAGGTTGATTGATCCCACGTCAGCCTGCCCTCGTCGTTTGCGCACCGGGTCATTCGGTGGAGCCTTTCGGGGATCTGATGCCGCCGTTCGGGTATTTTTGTTTGTACGCAAAAGCCATTGGACGCCCCTGAATTTGGATTGAATGGTAAACAGAAGTAGGGTTAGCAATGGCAAAGAGAAGGTCCGCAAAAGGGACGACGGGAGCATGCTGCCGTTGGTCAAGATGGGCCATGTGAATGGCCCGCCGCACGAGGCGCACGGCGTCCTGGCGTCTACAGTCTGCACTCGTGTGTCACGAACGCTATCGGGTCAGTTTGAGGAATAGTCCCAGAGGAGGTGGCCCCAGCACGCACGCATGGTGTTACACGAAGCAGTGCTCCGCGAGGTCATGATGTGCGAAGCCTAAGGTTTGTGAGAAGCCCTGGGCAGTAGGCGGACGTCGACGCTTCCACTGTCGATGTGACGCCGTTGTGGTACATGCCTCAAGATGAGAGGACGTGGGTGGTGCTGGTGCTACACCAGGCCCGGTGGCGCCCAATTCATTTTTTGTTGGCAATTCTACAGATCCAAGAATGGCACATCATGAGGAGTAAGACGAGCCGAAATATCTGATTCATACTCTGTAACGGCTGAGTGAATGGTGGAGGAGGGCTAGCGAGCTGTTGGGGTTGGGCAAAGCCGAGACATGAGCGCGCTATATGGCTGGGAATAGGCTGCGACCGTCACATAGGGAGTGCGATGTTGAGGTACCTTATGGTAAGAAAGGCTCAGGGTGAATTGATTGGTCTAGAGGGCAGCCTTGAGGGCCTTGAAGGCGTCCTCGCGGGCTCCCGAGAAGCGAGATTCAGCTGTCTTCCAGTTGATGACATTCCAGATGTTCTCGACGTAGGCAGCCTTGCCGTTGAGATACTAGGTTGACGAGTCAGGCGCTGGTGCATAGGACAGAACTCGAGGTGACGTACCTGCAGGTAGTATGCATGCTCCCACATGTCGACGCCGAAGATGGGAACACCCTTGGTGACGGGGTCCTGGTCCTTCGTGGTGACAATGGCCAGGCGGTTCGTTTCATCTTTGACGAGCCAGCCCCAGCCACTGCCAGTGATGCCGAGAAGAGCAGCGTTGAAAGCCGACTTGAACTGGTCGAGTCCGCCCCAGACTTTGGAGATCTCCGCGACCAGCTGCGGGGCCGAGTCGGTGCTGGCGTCGGGGCTCGACGCTGGCGAGAGGTTTTCCCAGAAAAGAGAGTGGTTGATGTGGCCACCGCCATGGAAGTTGAGAGCAGCAAGGACACCGGCGCGGGCATATAGGGGGTTCTGGTTGTATGTCTCAAGAGCCTTGTTCAGGTTGGTGACGTACGTCTGGTGGTGCTTGCTGTGATGCAGCTCCATGATCTGGGCCGAGATGTGTGGCTCGAGCGCCTGTAGACAGTCAATACGAGGCAGCCGACAGTTATGGCTGTTGGCTCTGTCAAGGGTCGCATGAGGCGGCCGGCCGGCAGGCAACCAAGCCAGGGAAGGGGTTTGACGTACATCATAGGCGTACGGCAGAGGGGGAAGCGAGTATGCCATGGTGGATTGTGGCTGGATCACGCGTCGTGTCGACACTACAAGGGACCAGAAACGGTTGGGGTGGTATGGTTTTCTTCAGGGCTCAGAGCTCTGTCGGGGAGAGACAGCAGGACAAGGAGAAGTGTTGATGGAGGGAAGAAGACAAGAAGGAGGGGGGTTCTGTCGAGCAGACATGAGGTTGGCCATGGTGGCGGGGTTTGAGCAGTTTAATCAAGGCAGCTGTCCTCCTCCAGAGCTCCTGCTTCAGTCAAAGTGCCGAGAGGGCCGGCTGACGTGCTTGCCGCGGGTTGGAGCAGGTTGCATTGCGCGACTGGGGAAGCGACTGGATGCGCGACTGGGAAAGCGCGAGTCTCCGATGCGAACCCTGAGGGCCACCACTCGTCATGTCATGAGCTTACGGGACGATCCTCGACGGCGGGGTAATTGGTCGGCACTCTTCCATGACAGCTAGCTTGCCTTGTGCTGCAGATGCCATTCATCTTATTTGCCATGATACCCATTTGACGTCGAGATCAGGTCTGCGATGGTCGATGATCCGGCTGAAACTGAGGTGCATTGTCGACTGACGAGGAATCGAGCGCGTGGTTGATACTTGCTCTAATCTTCTCAACAATGCCAGGCTATGATTGGTCGGCACCTGTCTTATGTCAGGTACTGCCCCCCATTCATCGGCAGGGACGCGGTTTGCGCATGTTTTCGGTGTGTCGGCCCTTGGGAGCTTGGGCCACCCCGGTGTTCTATGTCTCGCCAGGGACGAGCCATCAGGGTCGTCTTATATCGAGCTCCCACGCTGTTAAAATAGGAAGCCGGCCTTCATCCAACAGGCTAGTATTCTCATTGCCCTGGAGATTACTTCTTTTGCTATTCTGTTGAATCTCACTTGCATTGCGTCTCTTACCCTGGCTGACGCTCACCGAAACACCTTCGAAGCACACCCTCGAACCATGTGTGGCCCCGATATTTCCAACAGGCCCCGAGGTGGCGCTCTGGCCGTAATAAATCCGACCAACGGTCTTGTCAAGACTGAGGGCCAGGAAATGCAAGGCGACCTTGCTTTCCACACACCGGGCGACCCATGCAGCTCTACAGCGACGCATGCTCGTTGGACCTGGGGCGAGGGTCATGCATCGTCTGCATTGGGAGGGCTCAAGTTCATCATCCAGTACGTCCTTCTTGCTCCCCCATTGCGGTACTCCTGAGTATTGATCTGACCATCAACAGCAAGTCAGGCGACATGACGAGACGAAGGGAAGACTGCGGGCTGTTCCACGAGTTCAGCTTTGCCAATGGGGCCGTTGTGCAGGGGGGCGATGCTCTCGAGTTGGTATTGAACCAGCCCATCTCACTGCAGGTTGGCGATGATGGTATCATTGGCCGCCGAATCTCCGTCATGTCAGGGGCTGATGACGCCTGGCAGAATGCCGTTGCCGAGGGCATTGTTGGCTTCAACTTTGCCCAGCCCTTGTCGGCTTCCCTATGATGATTTTGCTATTTGCATGGCGTCGAACCCTTCCTGCAGGACTCCAGACAATGGCGTTGTATTGGTAACCCTTCTAGCGTTTGGTTTAGTTGGAGATTAGAGGTTTGGATTTTTGGGCTGGCACATCCAAGGTCACATTTCTGGCGTTGACAAGTATTTTTGCTGTTTGTAAACAGTCTAGAGTAACTCTAAGCGTGCTTCCGATACTATTGTATATTCAGAAGAAACGACCACATCACAATGTTCGGAGTGGTCGCTCAGCTAGGCCATAGCCACGTTTTTTCTGGTCGACGTGCGCCGGATACTGGCTTCCATGCACCTATGTCGTTTGCTTTTTTTTTTTTTTTTTTCTTTTTTTTTTAACATGCTTCTGAGGTTAACGTCTCTGAACACCCGTCTTACAATCTCTCACTCGGTAAGACTTCCTTTTGCAACTGATGACAGAGTTCGAGGTACTAAGTGTTCCTAGGTTATTTCGGCAACAGAGGCAGACCTACAGACGACATACACCAAACATGACGAAATTTATTCAGCCCCCGAGCTTTCGTCAATGCAACGACACTCACGTCACTGCAACCAAGTTGGCGCATGCATGTCCTCGCCTGACGACTGCCGCCTCAATTAATGTGCGCAGCGAGCCTTGAATCTTTGTGACCGAATGTGGCCCTGGCCCTACGACTGAGCATCATGTCCGAGTCAATCAGATTATCAGACAGCTGAGATCACCCCTAGTTCGTCTTTGCGGCCAGATCTTTCGAGTTGTCATTCTGCGTGCGTGCCAAATCATATTTACCATCACCATCACCATCACCATCAGTGAGATGAGACTAAATGATTTGGATCCGTTGGAGGTTGGGATCATCTCGTCACCCCGTGGTGTTCCAGGTGGCCAACTCGATACATTGTGGGGGCTCACCTTTGAAACCATCGCCATTGTTCCGCGAAACGAGGGCGGCAACCGCACGAGCAGGGCGTTCGTTTGAGCAAAAGTTCGCGCAAACGGGGCCTGACGCCTTGCTTAAAAGTGGCCCGCTGGGTCGGCTGTTGGGGCGTGCATCAATCCCCAGGTGTCAGAATTCGTGGTTAGCGCATCGCGCCTCAGAGAGCATGATCATGCGCGATGTGATACTACAAGTGCAGGATGCAACATCAGAGTCCTTTCCAGACGGGAGACCGCAGCATGCGACTAACGACATGTTGGGGTCACCAAACATCACGACATCAGCAAAGATCCGAAGAGCCAGATCCCCCAGAAGCTCACCATGGTACTCGTAGACTGATCTAGTCCGCTTATCGACGCATTGTACTAAAGAAGCCGATGACCGGACCGGGGCCACGGCATCTCGACAAGGGCTCAGGTGATTAAGGTTTCCGAGCCACATGACGGCACGCTGATTCCGGGCGATCAGCAGGGCACGTTTTGGGGCAAGGTCAGCAACCCGCGGCAGCCCCCAAGCTGAACGCGAATGCGAGATACGGCGCCGTCAGCCTTAATAAGGTTAGACAATCACACGCCAACCTTCCTTTCGTCTCCAAATCTCTCCAAAGGGCTTTCAGACGACGGCCTCGTTTCGTAAATACCAAAAGAAAAGGGGAAAATAGAGTCGACGACAGAGATGCCGAGCGCATCGCACATCGCAACATGGGGCCTGCTCCCCATCACCCTGGGCGCAGTCTACCTCTACCTCCTCGAGCGCAGGATCGCACGTGCAGCGACGCTGTCGAGTGGACGCCGCGCGCACCGCCCGTCCGCAGCATCCTCCTCGTCAGCAGCAGCGGCGACGCCACCACTGCCCCTCAGCCTGCCGCAGGACGTCGCATCCAACCCCTCAACCTGGGTCCTCGCCTACGAGCGCGCCGTGTCGAATCCCGTGCCCGCGCGGCGCGTGTCGCAGCACCAGGCGCAGCAGCAGCCCACGGCGCCGGACGCCAAACCGTCAGCAGGCAAGACAGAGGCGTCGCCGCTGCTGCGCGCCTACGCGAGAACGGTGCAGTCGGCCTTTAGCTGGACGCCGCAGGCGTTTGCCATTCGGGCGTCGATTCCCGAGCCGGCGATCCGGCGGAGCTTTGACGCGGCGTGGATCCAGAACCTGGCGTTCGACGAGGGCGATCTCGTCAACGGCGTGTACAAGGTTGCGTACCGAGGGCCCGGCCGCGTGCCCGGCTCGGAGCGCGTCGAGCTCGTGATTGAGGCGCCGCCTTCTTGGACGGGGCCGGAGGTACGGGGCATCATTGTCGCCGAGGTGCGGGGTGGGGCCGAGGCCGAGGCCGAAGCTGAAGCTGAAGCCAAGGCTGCGCGGCAGGTTGTGTTTGTCAACGAGACGTGGCTTTGGCGGCGGGAGGGCGAGAAGGCGACGATGCTGGAGACGGCGGTGGGGAAGTGGTTTCATGGGCTTCTGGCGGGGTGGCTCGTCATGAGGGGGATTGCGGGGGTGACGACTGAAAATGGCTGACATGAGCCGATTTGAGCAGGTTTCTGCGTGGCTGGGATTTCATGTTCAGGCGTCTATGTAACAAACATGCTGTTCAATGCTCTCATATGTATGCGGACCTAGCAGCCTTCTAGCTGGCGCCCTCTCGAGATCACCCCAGGCCTGTGGCCAATGGATCCCATGTGTTCTTTCTTCCTCTCACCGGGCCAGCATGTTCATTCCTCACCTCGCCGACATGTCCTTCCTGTCTTTCGGAAGAACTGTGCGACTGACCTCAGTGCCGCTCCTCGTCTTTCCAAAACAATGCCCGACTCCAAGAGGGGAGACCCTGGAGGTCTCTCTCCATCATGACAGACAAAGAGCTCACGGCCTCTTCGCCTTACGCCCCAGTCCCCGGAGCCGCATCTCCAAATCACCAGCAGATCTACTCACAAGCAACTAGTCTCACGACGCTGATTCTCTCTGATAAAAGAAGGTGTGGCAGGGTAAAAGGAACCTACCTCGCGCCACCCGCAAGAAGCGGCTCCCGATCCGCCTCGGCCGGCGCCGCGCCGCGCCTGCCGGCGTCGGCCTTGTGGAAGGGCCAGCGCGCCTGTTCGCGGCAGGCCATGGCGGCGAAGCCCAGGGCGACGGCGATCCAGTAGAGGTTGTACGAGACGACGGAGCCGACGGTGGCCGAGTTTTGCCAGCCGAGGACGGCGTTGAAGATGCCCCAGACGCCGCCGCCGTTGAGGTCGGGGTTGCAGCACTACGTCATTAGTTGCTGGCTCCATACGAGGGGGGTGGCAAGGAGAAGAGGCTGGAGACAGAAAGAAAAAACTCACGTTGACGTGCCAGACGCTGCGGCGAATGTCGTACGAACCCGGTCCCGAACCCAGCTCGGCCGCGTCACCGCCGACAATGAGGTTCCACTGGTGGGCCTCGAGGTGCCAGACGCCCTTGGAGAAGAGGCCGGCGGCGACGAGGTAGAGGAAGCAGGTCGAGAAGACGAGGAAGTACTGAATGGGGGCGACGTTGGAGCCCTTGTAGATGACGAGGCCGACGACGGCGCCGACGAGCAGGCCGGAGAGGACAGACAGGGGGATGGAGGTGACGGGCAGGCCGATGCCGACGCCGGCGATGAAGAGGACGCCCTCGAAGCCCTCGCGCAGGACGGTGATGAAGGGCAGGATGAAGAGGGCGTACTTTTCCGAGAGGAAGCGGAAGCGGTCCATGAAGGTGCCGTGGCGCCCGCTGTCCTCGTTTGTGCTGCTGAGGGCCTTGCTCAGCTTGGCGTGCCACTTGTCCTGCAGCTTGGTGACGCGCAGCAGGACGGCGCCCATGAGGGTGATGACGAGGGAGGCGCCGAGCGAGAAGAGACCCTCCCAGATGTCCTCGGCGCCGCCCATCTCGTCGGCGGCGAGGCCGTAAACGCCACCGATGAGAACAGCGCCGAGGAGAATGCAGACGAGGACGCCGACGGCGGTGCCGAGCCAGACCTGGCGCACCATGGTCGAGTAGAGGACGGCATCGCGTTGGGGGTCGAGGGTGCGCTTGATGAAGGCGAGCAGAACAGAGACGATGATGGCCGTTTCGAGCGACTCGCGAAAGGTGATGAAGAAGACTAGCGATGAATGAGCTTGGCTGTGCATGTGGACATGTCACCAGGAGGAGGAGGGGCACAACACACTGGGAAGAGAGAAGAGGTCCTCCATGGTGAGTTTGGGTTGGCAGCAAGCTGCGATGGACGACGACGGTGAGAGCTGGAGGGGACGCAGTCGATGCTACAAGGTGAGCAGCAACGTCCTTGTCCGTGAGTCTCTTGTGTCGAGCTGTCGAGCTGTCGAGCTCGTCCTCGCCCTTTGTCACTTGTCACTGGTGGTTGCTCGCGGTTCTGGTGGGTGGCGTGACTCTTGGTGAGCAGTTTCTGCTCGGCAGCCGAGTTCGGATCGCATCGGATCTGATAAGAAGACAGGTGGGGTGTCGCGTACCTGCATCTGCATGCGAGCGGCACATATTCGCCTAAGGGGTGGTCACCTCCTGTGGGCAACTTGGGCAGCTTTCAACAAATGGAAGACAATTGCATGGAATATGACCTGGACATCTCAGAATCTCTTCCAACTCGCGAGGCCTCATTTGTCTTCTCCATATTCCAAACTCTCCGCTCGCTTCTCTTTTTCTCAGAGATGTCGGTGACGAGAGGAAAGACCTCTTAGCTAGATATCCCGCCTCGATGCATCGCCTGCATCTGATAACGTCCAAGAATCTCCACCTCAGCCTCGTCAGCGCCTTCCATTGGACAGTCGCCACGCACATCACATGGCGCCGCTCAAATTCTGCACATGATGCGATGCAATGCAACAAGACTTGGGATTCTGATCGACTCACTTCGCCCAGCGCCGACTCCGCTGCGCCTCCATCTCGCAGCTCACAGCCATGCAGTAGACGGCTGTACAACGACCTTCACCCCGTGCATGGCCTGACTTGTGGCTCGTCTTGATCAGCCTCGCCAGCCGCCGTCTCTGCCCTCTACCCCTCAACACCACGTCGGCACATCCTCACCATGGGCATCTTCTGCCGCTCGGGCCTTACAGCCCTCGCCTTGTCTCTCGCATCTCTCGCAGGCCTCGCCCAGTCGGCCCTCATCGAGAAGGACTTTACCGTCGGATGGGTCACGGCAAACCCCGACGGCGCCTTCCACCGTCCCACCATCGGCGTCAACGGACAGTGGCCTCTGC